ACTTTACATACTTCTTTACGTCAGTGCTCTTTGAATAACTGATCACGTATGAATATGTTAACTTTGCCCCTATTACTGAAAGTAAATAGGAAACAAAGTACTTAAAAATTCAAATCTGTCACAGCTCTTCTAGTTGTGCATGTGTCAGTATGAATCTCAAAGAAAACTAAACAATAAAGGAATTACAATACCAGGAAAACTATGCCACCCCTCCCCAGCAATGCTGTTTTCTGAAAAAGGAGTTTGCTATTCACTCTCTTCCATATATTCCACTGAAACTGTTCTCCTGAGAAATTTTTATACTAACATGAGGATCTGCTGAAACCAAATTTATGTATTCCCTTGAAATCCACCATCTGCCTGTGGGATACAATCTATGACCTTGCAGGTCCTAATGCCCTCATGTTGTTGGCAATGTATCCAGCCAGGGCAAGGAAAGAGGAGCAGTGGGAACTGTGTAATACTACACAATGAGAAACCAGAGAAAGCCAGCATACATATTGCATACCTTGTAACAAGTAAAGTAGAACAATCTGTTGATACAAAAAGGATTCCATTTTAAAAGGCATGTTCTCATTTGTAATTAAATAGTCAAAAGTTTAGCGAGATGAATGCTGCAAATATACGACCTATTGTTTTCTAGTATTTTTTGTTGGGATTCGTTAGACAGGAAACATGTTCAGATCACACTTTTTGTGTCACATATCACAAGGTTACTGTAAGTCCACTGCAAACCTTTAAAATGTACTCTTAGTCTGGATCTTACCATGACTTGTTTTCATTTCATCTATGCCTTGCCTACATAGCACAAAGAACCATATTTAAAATGGTTAGCTTAATTGCAACTGATAAACAAACCGCTGTAACAAAATTTGGCATAGCTGTGGTACATTGACCTTGGCTGGCCGCCAGGTGCCCACCAAGCTGCTCTATCACTCGTCCTCCATTCTTCACTGCTCTTGGTGTCTGCATAGTTGTTTCTCCCACATATTCTCAACTCTTCCATTCCTGCCGCTGTTGCACACAAGTATTTTTACCCTTCTTAAACACGTTATCACAGAAGGGCTACCAACATCCCTGGGTGGCTCAGCTTTGGTCAGTGGTGGGTCCATCTAGGAGCCAGCTGGAACTGGCTCTGTTTTTCACGGGGGCAGCTTCTGGTGTCTTCTCAAGGAAGCAAGCCCGGCAGGCCCCCTGCTACCAAAACCTTGCCACATAAATCCAACACAGTAGCAAGTGCGAATGGGGTTTTAGCAGTGTTCTTCCTTGGTCAAAATATATTTATGACCCTGGTAGCTGGCTAAACCTGGATGCACAGAACAACAACATTGCTGAAAAATGGTCCGTTACTCTGTTGGAGGCTTAACATTATAGTAAGTATTCTATCTAAGGAGCTACTGAGGATGCAAACTGTTACTTTAAGAAAAAACAAATAAAATTAATAGATCGTATCTGCAGGAATGGAGCCTGCAACACTTGTGGAAAAACTGAAGCACTTTTAATAACTGATAGAAAATTGTTTAATAACATAAGAAGAAACTCGCTAAGTTTATGGTGGGAATCTGGTGAAAAAACAATGTCAAACATTTACCTGGGTTCAAATACATTCGACAGCTTTTATATTTTGGGAAATCTGCATTTGCATTCCAGTCATGAATACACAACTATATGGGACTTCAAACTACAGGGTTTTGATTTACTACAAGCCAAATGCTTATCCTCTTCCATGAAACAACCTTAGTCCTCCCTTGTTGTATATCACAGCATGAAGGCGTTTACTAGGAAAAATCTGAGAGTTCAGAATGTGATTTATATTATGAATTGTTTTAGGCATCTGCTGGACTATACTGCAACTTGCTCTCAACCTTCACTCTTCTCGGGAAAAAAACATTCCTCAAACGGCTGCAAGTCTTTCCCTTACAAGGAATCCCTACATTGTTTAGACTCTGGCATCCATATTTCCTAACTGTACTCTCACCGTGAGGAATCCCTGGGATGCCGTAACTAAGTGATCCCCAGATAACCTGCTTGAAAAATAATTATCTTTTTTTAAATATTGTTCTACAACTCAGATTACAACACTTGCAAAAAGTGAAAAATTAAAAGTAGCATGTCTTCTCTTAATAGACTAAAAGTCTTGCCCAGCATTTATCACCAGGCATCTCAGCCCCTGACATTCCTGTTTTGTTAGATATTACATAAACATATATTAAAACTGCTGGTCCTGCCTCAAAACGTGTGCAGTCACATGATTAGGAAAATCATCCACAAACACAGTAAACAGGGGTCAAAGTGCTGAGGGTTCCTTCAGATTAAAGATGGATTAAATTAAATTAAAAATTAATTAAATTAAATTAAATTAAATTAAAGATTTGAACTTGTTGCCACTGCTGTTACAGAGGAAGTGAATTACTTATCGACTTATTACAATGCTATTGCATTACCTGTGGTTCCTTATTGTGTTGGCTAGGATCCTTTTCATAACTCTCTGCATAGATCCGGAGAGTAGCTCTCACATGGCTAGAAGCACTCATTCTGAAGATAAGCCTGGAAGCATCTGAAAAAATAATCCGCAGCCCCTATGGGAGAAGAAGGAGCAGCAACTATGTAAGGTGGCAGTACCTTTACAAATCACAGTTCACTGCTTTAAAATAAAAAGTGAAAGGAAGAGTCATTTGGATGCAAAAAAAAACTTTGAACAACTCATTTATTACTGTTTTTCCCCCCTCTAAAGACTAGAAATGATCTTGTGGATTCCCTCCCATTCCTCACAACAAGGACTCTCTTACTGCTGTTTTTATTTTCTTTAACTGTTCTTCTGTGTGGCAGAGCACAAAGTCACTGGCCTGAGAAATAGTTGTAAGATCAGCAAGGATCAGTGGCCTAAGATATAGCTACAGGATCCCAGGATCAAAAAACAGTTGTCAGTACTGAATACAAAAGACAGGATCAGTTGCTACCGCTCATAGACCATGCATCAACATCTGATTACAAAAACTTCAACAACAGTCTGTAGTACAACTTGGGAAACTTAACTTAAGGTGTTAATTGATGTCAAGTACACTAATTAATGCACATTAACTGTGTGTAGAATAAAAAGGATTTATTATTTAACTGTGATTTTGCTCTTTGCTCCCATCTTCACCTTTTTTTTCTTTTCTCCTCCCCCCTTTCATACTGCATATATGAACACATTCTTCTACAGACCACAGACCTTATACTTGGATCCACGGTTGACAGACTTTCTGTACAGGAAGGCCATTAAGGCCAAAGGACTAAATTGCACAGTTAAATAGTTGCAGTGTAATAACAGAACTCTACCAATTCTGCACTAACACGCAGTCTAGTTCCCTTTCTGTAAACTTAGGCTAAGTGCCACCTCTGCTATGCCACTGAACTTTATTTCCCCTTTTAGTCCTGCTGTTGCCAAATGCCTAGTGCACAAACTGATATCCTTGCTACTTTTGTTTAAAAATGTAAACCATTAAAAAATGAGAGAAGAGAATTAAGAGAGAAGCATTTTATTCTTCCAGTTTAAGAGCAGCTTGAGAAGACACTGATGTTAGCAACACAGTGCTCCAATACTCTAAAATCTAAGTAGAAACCTTTGTTTCCTCAGGTATATGCCAAAACACCTTCAGCACCTTGTAAAGCATCGGTTTGTTGATAATCACAGAATCATAGAATGGTTTGGGTTGAAAGGGACCTTTAAAGGTCATCTAATCCATCCCCCGTGCAATGAGCAGGGACATCTTCAACTAGATCAGGTTGCTCAGAGCCCCGTCCAACCTGACCTTGAATGTTTCCAGGGATGGGGCATCTACCACCTCTCTGGGCAACCTGGGCCAGTGTTTCACCATCCTCATGGTAAAAAATTTCCTCCTTATTTCTAGTCTCGATCTACCCTCCCCTAGTTTAAAACCACTCCCCTTTGTCCTATCACCAGAGGCCCCGCTGAAGTTTGTCCCCATCTTTCTTACAAGCCCCCTTTAAGTACTGACAGGCTGCAATAAGGTCTCCCCCGAGCCTTCTCTTCTCCAGGCTGAACAACCCCAGCTCTCTCAGCCTTTCCTCATAGGAGAGGTGTTCCATCCCCCTGATCATTTTTGTGGCCCTCCTCCAGACCCGCTCCAACAGGTCCATGTCTTTCCTGTGTAATGCCCATTAACACTAGAAAATATACATCAGGAAAATATCCCACATGGATAAAGGGTTGGATTAGATGGCCTAGGAGATATTTTCCATCTCTAACTTTGGTGATACCATGAAACTTTTTTTAGCTGCTACTATGGTATTATATATTAATTTTAAAATGTATCTAGTAGTCTCAACATACAAAGCGTCAGTCACAAACAAAAATAGTTTACATTTGGAAGATTGAGCTTTACAGCCTGTTTTTCTAATATTTGCTATTAAGCCAACTTTGTAATGAGATGGTTCAATTGATGCTGATGGGAGTTTTGCCATTGATTTCACTGGAATCAAGATTCCATCTTGGGTGCCTAGAATTACACAGGCAGTTTCTTACGATATGATCCTGTGAGCAAGGGGTTGTCTCTTGCTGATTGCTCATTACGTTTAACTTTATGACAGTGAAAAGAAAGAAGATAAATTGAAGAGTTTCACAGTTCTGGGTATAGTTTGTTTCGAATGGCTGTCAAACCCAGGATCAGCAGCTCAAAGTACGGAATATTAATGTCAATCAGCTTTAAGAGAGAAGGAAGGGAGTCTAACATATCTGCACAAAACATCAGAGTATGTGAGTGTCTTCTTCTCCAAAGACTAAACGGGCATTTTGCACATTCCTGCCAGACCTAGCAACTCCCACAGTGACATGACTAGCAAGACCACTTGAATACTCTCCCACATACTCCATGTTTATCCAGTTTATCTTTAATAACACCAATACATTGTTACTTGGTTTAGCACATCTGAAGTCTCACCGCTCATTAAATTATGGTCTATCAGAATAAAAAGGATTTATAAACATTCCCCATGACTCTTCCCATAACTTTATGACACAAAAATGCTCCACCAAACTACATATACAAAAATGTAGCCAGTTTGATGTTACAGTTAATGGCACTTGGGATGTTTATGCAACATATATCGACGCACGACCAGCATTCAGACAGTTCACTATACTATTTCTGAGCTTATTATTTTATTCATTTTGCATTTCTCAGGGACACACGACTGACAGTATTGATTTTTACACAAGCATGACGACAGCTAGTATTTGTCTGTAAGACTAGGATTCCTGCCACACAGCTGAAAATACTCTGTAAAAGGGAATTACAGAGACGTAGTGACTGTGCTCCTTAAAAACAATAATCCTAAGTGCCAGGGAGAAATCATAAGCTAGGGAAACAATAGCATTTAGAGCTGGACTGTCAAAGTCAACTTTTAAAGTCACGATATTTGCACCAGAGAGCCCAGCAGCAAAAAATCTGACTTTTGACTCTCCTCTGAAAACAGTGATTTAAGCACTTGCAAAGCTTTTCACTCAGGAAGGCTACTGAAATTAATGAGAGCTATTAAATTTTTATATTCCTCACCGTTTTCTGGAAATTATATCTAAAAGTCGCGAGTTACAAACATTTGTTAAAGCCAAAAAACCCAGCCAAAAACACTGTTACCAAATAAATATGAAAAAGCATTGGCTGGGGAATAACCTGTGACTCTGCATCTTGTATAAAGACAAAACCAAAAAGGTTTTCCCCGCTTGTTACTGAATAGCCAGTTTAACACATAAAAGTTTTCCTTTTTGACATTTTTGAGCTTTTGTGGTCAGCAAGGTCAAAGCAAGCTGGTGAAACTGCAAGCCCTACTTACTCTTTGTCATGATGGTATTTTTTCACCTGTCATAAGCTCCGCTAATTTAAAGCCACATATTTGCTATTTATTATATAGAAGGTGTCAGCTCCATGAAACATAAAATCTTATATGCAGAACTTACAAACCAGCACAACAGGAAAAGAAAGAAGAGCAACACACTGAAAGGCCCACAGGACAGAATAACTTCCAGTTTTAATAAAATAGGACACACTGTTTGTCAGTAACAAGAATAATGCTTTCTTATGGGAACAGATAATTTTTTTTTCTGGGAGGAAGCAGATGAAAAGGTTCAGTACAGCTCCCACACTGAACATCTGCAGATGTTTATTTTAGGCAAACTGGGCCTGCTAATGGACATTAATGAGTTGTGTGGAAACTCCGAAACAAAATTATCTTCCATAGTTAACCCACTGGCTTTGAAGCTGATGTGATGGAGATAGAGCTTCACAGGGATTTCTCTCTTTTACTTTACAATCCAGTTAAACAGCCTACTGATGTATTAGTATCTATGAAGCACTCAGAAAACTAAACCTACTACATATTGTACTATGTAGTTTGGTTCCTAGTGGTTTGGGGGTTGTTTCAGTTATCAATTTCATAATTAAATAAATAATAATAAATTAGCACAGTAAGTTAGCATGAACAAGACTAAGCAGCAAACAAAGCAAAATATCTTAGGATTTCAAAAAACTTTATTAAAGTATAATGGCAAGGAGTAACACCAATAGAAAATCTAGCTTAGCAGCAATATATTAGACACAGAGGCATATACATAAATTAGGAGCATGTGAAATGGCTATACTTTTACTTCAAAATACTGTGATGATCACAATTTTTATTTGCTCCTCTATGGACCCTTGAGTGTCCCTAGGCATAGCAGGCCACACCCACTACTCTGACAGGAAATACCTTATTGCTGATACACGATTGAAATATCATTCTGAACAGAGAAGAATTTTTGTCTTATCTCTGGAGAGTTATCTGAAATAACTTTTTTCCAACTTTTCCAACGCCTGTTTCCTGACTCTTGCTCAAACTGAAATGCAAAAAAACCAAAACTACATGCAGAGCCCTTTGCATCCCAAATCTAACGAAGGAGTAAGAAAGCTCTGAAGTTTTATTCTGTGAATCTCAGAATGTAAGAACACTTCATTAAAGAGCTCAAGTTAACCATTATAATGGGCAATTTGTACTTCTTATCCTTCTAATTCAAATTTCACACAAAAATGCAACTGGTCCTGTTTCTGGTTTGCAGGATCCTCAGGAGCAGCACTGTTATGTGCTCACATGCACAAAAGCTAGTGCATGAGGACTTCAAAAATGAAAAGAGTCTTCAAGAACAGCAGAACGTTTCATTTAATTTCATGCCTTATTATTGCACTGTGATAAGCAACATTCAAGGGTTTCAATAGTCAGAATGAATTAGAAGCTACAGTCTGGGCCTATTGTTTACTGCCTATTTTGCTGTTGCTGTGTTTATTTTCTGAACGTGCTGTTTATTAACACTGATTAATAATCATGTAGCCAGCTTCTCATTCATGAGACATACTGCAGTTACACTGAATGTAAATCTCTCTCCCCTACCTACTGGGGAACAAAACTTTGAACAGGTTCCTGAAAACATCACTGGAAAATCTGCATGAAGTTCATGACAGTCAGAAAGAGGCATCTGCATTTACATGGAGAGCAAGCCACCTGAGGAAAATGGCAGCAGTGAACTGTCGTTTCATTTGCATGGATCAATGTCCTCTTCTATTTTATTGTTCTTGGAGAATCCCACCGAGGCTGCAGACACATGGAGCTAGGAATGTATCCTTGCCGAAAGACAAACTGGTTGAACTGTACTATCAATAAATACGTGCTTCTCCCTATGAAAAGACACGCTTTCTGGTTTTATGGGCTCACTTTCAGAGTCCATCTGAAAACAGGCCAAGTCACATTTCTCTGTTTGTGTCACATGGTGATATGATTAGCAATTATATTCCAATTTAGGACAAGGGCTTTGGATGAAAATTAAGGGAAAGAAAAGTGCACTGAAAATTCACAAGCTGTTTTTCAAAGGTAAAAGGGCCACAAGTCTGCCGTGCCTATAATTTTCCAGTGGACTTGGATATGACAATATCCTTGTATCTCACTTCAGCAGTAATATGCACAAAAAGAGTAGCTCAGTGGTGGGTGGGCTGCTTATATTTTCTGGATGCAATGGTGAATGGAAACTATAAAGACTGAGCAGAATGGCATGACAATAATAATATCATTTGCTAGAGTCTGGTCAGGTCAAGTAATTTACAAGCCAGAGAAACTAGGGCAATAAAAATAAACAGCATAAAATCAGAACACATTTTAATATGAGTCATAGCTCATATTCAAGATGTTTGAATATACATTTACACCTGGCAAAAGTACATGGTTAGTTTCGAGCGCATCATGAATTTCAAAACACTGAAGGCTCAGTTTGAACTACAGTTCTTGATAGCTAAGGAATCTCATTATGGACATAGTCCAGAAGGAACACAGAACCGGTCACTTGGGCTACAGAAGTCAAATGTGCCCACATACGGTACAGTTGACGAAAGTCTTCTGCATGATGTTGGCTACAACAGATATTGTGCCTTAATTATGCAAAGCCTGTAGGTCACCAAGAAAATTTTCACTTTTTTTGTAATGTATAGCAAGTGGAGGTTTCAGATAGAAAACAGAAAAAGGAAAGACTGCCTTTCTGCATGACACTTTGCACTGTTCAGGAAAGGGAACCCTCCCTATACATACATTGCTGTCAACAGGGACTCCATCCCCTCCTACAGTCTCTGTGACACTACTGCCTCCAGTTATGCACAGCAAGTGCAAGCTAAACCAGAGGTGGATTATCTTATCCAGACCGAGCTAATCTTAAGTAGGAAATGCAGTATCTATCAGAGCAAAGAAAACACCATCCTATAAATAAATGGAGAGGCTTGCCAGCTGAATGTTAGAAATAACAATGTTAGAGGCAATATGACAGTTCCAAGACTTTGCTACTCCATCGTTACAGCCGTACCTGTCTTTTGGTCACAGTGCCATCCACAGGATCTATGTACTCAAAGCTGTCCGTTCTTTCCACGCTGTAGATACTGTTACCCACAGCAAACTGCTGATGGTTGAACGATTTGTCAGTGATCAAAGCTTCCAGGTCTCTCATTATGAAATATGCTGTTCTGGGTTCCAGTGCTTCATAATCAAACCTTGCATACATATAAAAAAGTAGAATCAAGAAGTAAGTCCCCTACAGCTGAGAAAACCATTCTGCTTTCACAGAACTCAATATACTCACAATTAGCAATTCACTGCTTACTTCAAAAATCAGAGGTGGACCACTGAAGTACCGACTGCAAATTAAACCAGCACGTGTATGCAAGTCCTGTGCAATTTGACCATTATGTGTGTGCACCACAGTTCTACACTGGCCACCTCACTAAGTCAACAGAAATCATTTAGAAAATGCATGGTTTCTAAAGTAGCATAGAAAACGTCATCAATACACAGCTAGCTTTCTGAGATTAAGGACACAATTAGTGCAGTGCTCAACAGCCAAGTGAAACAGAGAAAACTTTGCTACAAGTTTTACAGAACAGCTGTGTGCAAAAGACCTTATGGATATGTGAACTCCTCTGGATTAAGTCTATTCTCAGAGCCAGAGAGAGGCAGAAGCTAAATGACAGTTAGAATTCACCCTTTTGAGACCTTAATAAATACGAGTAAATGTGTGGATCTTTGGAGGAGTTCTCCTGAATTAAACGTAGGCATAAGTCCAGTTCTCACTAAAACACTGTTGGATGGAAGCACATACAGAAACAAATGCAGGAGTAAATCTTGCTGGGATTTTGATTTTTTTAACACTGTGTAACGAGCTATGCCTACAGACTCCACAAGTAAATAATTCAAATCTTTCTGCCATTTGATACCAGAAAATTCAATTACTCATATACTAGAAGTGACATATACACACTGCTCCTTCAGTAAGTAAATAACTTCTGCTGCCACTTACTCATCAGAAAAAACCTGCCTCCAGAACAGTGGCAATCTGTGGCAGATTTTCATTCTGTGGACACAGCAAATGCACACCCAAATGCAGCTGAGCACAGCTAAACAAGCCATGGTTGGACCAGAGTTGTCCTATCAACTGCATAAGTTCCTGTACCTTTTCCTCATTTTTCTCACCTGCAGTAGTAGTGCCGGCCAAATTTTGTCCAGTGATCCCTGACAATCTCCTCCACGCTCTGCTTTCGAGCTGCTAGGATTGAAAGCCAAACTAGCACAGCCCACAGTCCATCTTTCTCTCGAAGGTGGTCAGACCCTAAAGAGACATAGGTAAAGCACATTATTTGGTATCACTGCAAATCAGAAAACAAGGTAAAGAGGCTGGGCAAATGTCTCATTTAACTTTGTATGTCGCGTAACAGTAATCAACAGTACTGATCTCAGCAACTCTGATATCTTCCAAATGGACAACCAGAACTCATGCTTGAAATGTGATTTATTTATATATGACAAAAGTCTGTTAATGTTAAATAAAAATATGTGCAAGTATTTGAATAGAAATGGTAGCAGTAAGGAAACATTTTTAGTCATGATTCCTGCTCACTGACATACAGGGTGTTTTCACACCTCTGGTACTGTTTCGCAGACCTGGGCTAGATATGCAAACCCCTGGCCATGAACCAGAATGTTCTGAGTTATGGGAGTGTCCTAGTTCCGGCTGGGACAGAGTTAACTTTCTCGCCAGTAGCTTGGGGGGTGTGCTGTGTTTTGGGTTTGGTATGAAAGGAGCATTGATGGCCCATTGATGCTTTGGCTGTTGCTGGGTGATGCTCACACGGGGTGCGGGGAGCACAGCCGGGGTGGTGGACCCAGCTGGCCAATGGGGTATTCTACACCATGTGACATCATGCTCGGTATAAAAACCAGGGGGGGGGGGGGGGGGCGC